CCTAAGCCAAGGGCTCTGAGAGAGGGAGCCAGCTGAAAGCAGTCAGACTTCAGTACCCCGGGCAGCTGGAGGAATACCTACCTAGACTCTGAAGGGGCATCTGGATGGCTCGCCACGCTATCCATTACACTTATAAAAACTAAGCGGAGAAAATCCAATCTTCTTATCGTGGCACACAAGACCCTGCATGGCCTTGCACATGCCCAACCCCAGCTCACCTCAGGCTGTCCTCTCCGCCTGGAGATCTCTCCCACCCACCCTCTGTCCTGGCCCCACTTGTCTGTTGGGGTCCTTCTAGTCCTTCAAATTACGTTTGAATGCACCTCCTCTGAGTATTCCTGCAGACTCAATGATCCTTTCTCCCAGCAGAGTGGTTAGGAGCATAGACTCTGGAGCCAGGGTTGAATCCCAGCTCTACCACTTCCTAGCTGTGTAACCTAAGGCAAATTACTCAAATGTCTGTATCTTAGTTTCCTCATCTATAAAATAGGTATAACATTAGTTCTGCTACCCCATAGAGTTGTTATGAAGATTAAATGAGTTAATATGTCTAAAGTTGGAACAGTGTCTGGCATGAATAAATAGTTGCTGCTATTATTGTTGTTATTGAAAGTGTTCAGTATGCATTTATTGAAGGCATGAGGAGGGAAGGATGGACCCGAGAGAGACAAAGCGTAAAGTATGTTCAGGGATGTTGAGCAATCCAATCTGTCAAAGAGGTAGTAATAGCTTCTGTGGGCCCATGTTGGGAAGAATTTTTAATGTCACAGTAAAGAGTGTGCATCTTATTTGGTAAGCAGTAAGAAACAATGACAGTTTGTCAACAGATGGGAGAAAAGGATAAAGAAAGAGGGACAGATTGAGCCAGGAGGTAAGGTGTATATGTGGTGAATTATAGGTAAGGGGTGGTATTAGAAGAAATGGGGGATGGAGACATATAGCAGGATGGGTACAGGTGAGGGAGAAGTGTGTTTAGAGGAAAATAACATGAACATATGGAGGATGAAGTGGGGGGATCAGTTGAAGCTGATGGGAAAAGGCGAGGAGTGACAGGAACATGCTAGGAGTGGAGAAGATAAAGGGTGATGGAGACAGGTGAGGTTTAGGGGTTCAGGTAAGGCGTGATGGGGTCCTGCTTGGCTTGGGGATAGAGATCAAGGGAATGGCCGAGACCAGTGAAGAGGTCCTAAGAACTGGGGCAGGACCGCCCGAAAGAGAGAGTCCAAGTGCTGTAGGAGTGGAGGGAAGAGCAGAATAGAATGTGATGTCAGAGAAAGGGCGGTGATGTAAGAGCCGGGGCGGTTGGGCGGTGATGTCAGGGCTGGTGCTGATGCTGGCGGCGCAGTGCATTGTGGGCAGCTCCCCGCTCTGCCGCTGCCGCCGCCGTCGCCCGCGGAGGA